CGTATCATATTACCTTAACGCAAGCATTAAACGCTAATGATATGAGAAACAGAGTAAATTTCTGTTGGTGGGCTCTACAGATGATTTTGCAGGATCCGAATTTTTTTAATTATGTCCTTTTTTCTGATGAAGCTACGTTTCATAGTACTGGCCAATTGAATCGTCACAACAGTCATTATTGGTCTGATCAGAATCCTCACTGGTACAGACCAGTCGATAATCAACATCGTTGGAGTGTAAATGTATGGTGTGGAATAGTTAATGGTCATCTCATCGGGCCATTCTTTTTTGAAGAAAACGTCAACGGCAATGCTATTTTAGAACTTTTAAGGGATCATCTCCCACTTTTACTTGAAGACGTAGATCTTGAGACTAGACGTCGAATGTAGATACAACTGGATGGTGCAGGACCGCATTTCGCTTTAATTGTACGAGAGTTTTTAAATAGAAATTTCCAACAAAGGTGGATTGGAAGAGGTGGTCCAGTTGCTTGGCCTGCACGATCACCGGACTTAACTTCCCCAGATTTCTTCCTTTGGGGATACTTAAAAAATACTGTGTTCGCCGAAGCGCCCACAACAAGAGAGAATATGATAGAAAGGATTAGAGTTGCATGTAGACAAATCTCTAGAGATATCTTACTGCGCACTATTGAAAGCTTCGAACAGAGGCTCAGGCAATGCATCGACGTAAATGGTAATAATTTCGAGCAAAACCGATAGGAAATAAGTTTATTCTAGTTTCATCACGAATTGTGAGAGGCAAGGGGACTCACATTAATAAAGCACCCCAAATCGTGAGAGGCAAGGGGATTCACGTTAATAAAGCACCCCGAATCGTGAGAGGCAAGGGGACTCACGTTAATAAAGCACCCCAGAGGGAACATAATCCTATTACGTCCACGTCGTTGTTCCTGGGTAGTGCTAAAGATAGGAAGTTTATGATCTTAAACATCAGCATCGTTAGTACATGGCCAGTCCCTTATTCTTTGGAAGTTTATTTAACAACGGTCATATGCGATAAAAGCTTCGCCTCGAAATGTAACAAAAATAAGAGAATTTTCAAGAATTTGACCTTTGCTTCACATTGAGAATAGAAGTACGACAAAGGTCTTCGATGCTCGTTAAACCTTTTGATGTTTGAAAGCGGCTTCAATTTCTTAAGTAAAAACTGAAATATTGTTTATGTTCTTATGAAAAAAAACTAAATAGATACTTGAACGTAAAATTTCCCGCTCTTTCTGATCCTGAAATCAGAAATAGGGGTTTCCATTAAAAAAATAGAAATGACCTTGAGAAAACCGTCAAGGTCAAGCTCAAGGTCAATTTCAAAGTCACCCCTAGATGTCCCCCTTGAACCCCTACAACTTTGGTCTGAAACATTTTTGCGTAATTTGCTTGTTTCAAAAGTTATTAGACTGGGGAAATTAAAATGACTCACCCTGTATATGTAGTTATACACAAAATGAATATGTGGAAATTTGCCAAATGGTAATTAATCCAAGTATTATTATTATTATAGAAAAATAGGTAAGAAGAAAATAAGTTTACACTAATGAACCTTGAGTTACTTTCTTGTTAGAAGTTTATTTATTATTATTATTAGTAGACTTGTCCTTGAAATTATATAGTTATATAGTATAAATGTGTATATTGTCAAAATATTCGTCCAAGAAATATAATCCTTTTATTTTTGCTGGTCCTTATAATAACTGTTATCCTTGTAACAAGTAATTATGCTGGAATTGGTCTGAACGTACGCCGTATACGTGTATATATATATTTAATAATGATGCGTTAATGAACGCCGTTACTTTCGTGGCGCGTATACGTTAATCGCTGATAGCAAGGATATGAATATACTGATTTTAGGAATTCAACGATAAATAAAAACTAATTGATAAAAAAAAACTGAGATCAAAACTGTATGAAAAGAACTGAATAAAACTGTACGTAAATCTGAAGAGAATTATGGTGTGTACGACTGGTCGTGATTAGCTCTGGCACGAGACTGTGGCTTTGTTAGGCGTGGACGATACAGTCATACCGCGCGAGAGTGTTACTACGCCGTCACCGCATTACTACGCGGCCGCCGAACCGCCCACGCGTGCTTAACGTGTACAATTAATACGCGCGGCGCAATTATACATAATACTAATACATGTAAGTTTTACATTACATTAATACATATATCAGGATTAAGTGAATTTTAAAAGTTGTCACTTAACAGTTTTCGTGGATTGTGTTGATTTGTTTTGATTTGATTTTTTTCATATTTTTCTTTAGCTAGATCTATGGTCTTTTTTAAAGTTTCTACATAGTTTTTATATTTTTCTCTTTTTGTTGCATTATTGGGATCTTTTTTCCAATTATTATAAAGTTTTTCTTTGTGTGCACATGATATCATTATTGCTTTAGTTATCCAATTACTCCTTGGGTTCATTTTATTCTTATTGTGTTTATTGTTATTAGATGATGCCGTAATACATGTTTGAATTTTTTCTATTAATTTGTTCGTAGCTAGATTAGGGTCTTTTATAATTTGTATGTCAGTCCAAACAGTTCTTTTGGCTTTATTTTTTAGTTTAAAATAGTTTATTATTTTGAAATTGGTTTTTTGTGTACATTTATAATTATTCCTTAAACTCATCATTATTGGGTAGTGATCATTGAAGGGTACGTTGAGGACGTAAGTTTTATAGTTGACTTTTCCTAGCCTAACATAGAAATTATCTATACATGTACCTTTGTTAATATCAATATTGGATGGTCTTGTTATGGTATGTAGTCCAGGGCAATATCCATTTTCTAGCAGTACTTGTAAAAAATCTTGATCTAGTATTTCTTCACTCAATATATCAAAATTAAAGTCTCCCATTAAAATATTGTTTTTATATTTTTTGTTTATTTTCAATAATTCTTTGAGATTAAATAGGAATTCAGATTTAGATAAATCATGAGATCTGTAAATTGCAGACAGCACCAAATTTCTGTTGTTTTCTAGTGTAATATTAGAGTTAATTATTTTTAATTTATCTATTTCAAGAAATTCTGTAATTTCGGTGATTTCTTCTTTCATATACAAAACAACTCCATCTGATTTGTTTATTTTACTTTCATTGTAATATATTTTATAGTCTGGAATATTGAACATTTCATGATTGTCTAAATTCCATGTTTCTGTGCATACTATTATACATGGTTTTTTTCGAGGTTCTTCAGAAATACTAGTAATTTATTGTAATTTTTTTTTAGGCTTCTGATGTTTATACAAAGAATGATATTATTTTTTTTACATATATATTTGTTTAGATCATCAATATTATCTGTTTTATGTTCTTTTTCAAATATAATATCATATAAGCTGTTATCCATATTGTAATATTGCAGAAAACTATTTAGTATTCCTGGTTTTATTACCTGTTGGACTTGAAGTAGATAATGATGATAACGATAAACTGTTATTTATTCTCGGACGGTTATATATCTTGCGGGTGTTTGTTTCAAAGTTTATTCTACCAAAATATCTTTGATAGGTTGGTTGAAATGGATAATCTGTCATTTCAATATACCTTTTTATTTTCATTTTTAAAACTTCACACATTTCGCTGTCGATTGCACTATGGTTTACGTTGTAGTTTTTACTATATGTTTCATTGTGGAAAATGCAGTTTGGACATTGGAGTATGCTGCTACTACACATTTTTGCTTGGTGCTTGCCAGCACATTTATAACACGTTGGCTCTTTTTTTGCTTTTTCACACTTTCCGCCGCCGTGGCCAAAACCTTAGCATTTGTAACACGGATATGTGTTGATGACGTCAAAGACTCTACAGTTTTGACATCCAATAAATAATTTGTTACTATTGTTTTTTATATGTTTATATAGAATAGATGGAACTTCTATTATTGCAGTTACTGTTTTATTTTTTTCATTTGTAAATACATGATTTACTTTGTATTTTTCTTCGCATTGACTAAAATTTCTTGCATTAATATCAGTTTCTATATCTTTTACATTTGTTGTGAAAGCTTTAGAAATTCCTACTACTTTAACTATTGGTTTACGTATTTCTTCTTTTAGAACAGTAAGTGCCGGTAGTTTTTTTTGTAAAGTTTTTTCTAACACTGTGACATTTTCTTCGGTCATGCAGTTGATAATTATTGTGTCAGTATTTTTAACTTGTACACTTTTTGTTTGTATGTTTTTGTCTTTAATTAAGTAATGTGCTACTTGATTTTCTAAGTTTATGTTATCATTACTCTTTTTCTTTATTATTAATCTTGGTATTCTTTTGGGCTTAGGTTTTGGTAGTGCAATTGTTTCAGCATATGTTTTTCTCATAATGTTAGTATTTGCATTATTATTTTGTTTTTCTTTAATTAGTAGTTCATTGAGCAATTGATTTTTTTCTTTTGTTTCTTTGTATAGTTCTTTCAATAGGTTATTTTCGGCTTTTAATTGTTGTAATTCATCCAAATCATTGATCTGTGTTACATCCATATGATCATCTTTTTCATTTAAAATTTGCTTTTCATTCACAAGCTCATTTAATATTTCCTGTTTTATTTGTTTTCTACTTACAAGTTTGAATTGTGTTATGAAAGCACTAGCTTGTTCACTTAAGTCCCCATATGGCAAGTTTGATGTTAGTGCAAAATTTCGATGCTCCTGGCATATTATGAATGAGCTGTTTATTAGTTTGATTGCATTTCCTGCATTGATGTTTGCTACTATTTCACTCGTATGATAGAAATTTCCACATACTAAACACACAACTGCTCCTACTTTTGTATTTGGATGACACTTGAAATGCTTATGTAGCGATGATACGTCAGGCGGTTGCACTTCCGCACCGCTCGACGGCGACATCGCGACTGAAATTTAAAATTTAATCTAAAATATTAAACGAACTATATAAGTAATTTTATTATCCGAGATATGGCATAAAAATTTAATAAATAAAAAAAATGAATTATATATAATAGTTTAAAACTGACCGACATATCTCCGCCATAAAATGGATGGATCACAAAAGTTTCATTGCCCAAATGAATAACTCCGCTAACACCATTACACGTATGAAATGCTGCACTCGCACCTGGGTAATCTTTAACAGTGCCGTGATAATAACAATGTTCAATTTCCTAAAAATTATGTTACTTGAAAATATTATTTAATCATAAGATAAATTTACCTAAATTAATATAATTAACTACTGACATACTTGCTTTGAAATTTGTTCTGCTCCATTAATTAAATAATCTTTTTGTACCAAATTTGGAGCGAGTAATTGTCTGAAACAAAAAAAAATTATATGATTCATTTCTAGATTCAAATAAAACATTTCAATACATAATTGTAATTGTTCTTTATTAATCTATATCATTAGAGTAAGCCAGCACTAGACATAGAAGTTGTCATTTTAATGAGCTTACATATTTATAACATAATTAAATTAACTGAAATGCATAAATTGTACAAATTATCATAGAACTGATTAATGTCTATCACAAAGGGAAGATTATGTACGAAATCGGATGAATAAATTGTTTGTTAATCATTGATTATAAATATAATTTATAAAAGATTTGTATATTTTATTTACAAATTTACTGTATATTAAATTGTGTAAATATGTGCTTTTCCAGCGGAGTGATTCATATTACATTTTATCTCTAATCTACGATCTTGTAGCAACAATGAATATAAGATGTTCACTAAAAATGACAGACAAAATATGAAGGCGATTCTCTAAGTAAATTCGACCAATGACAAAAATAATTTGAATAAGAAATCGCAACAGAAATAACGTAACGCTATAAGCATTGGATAATTATTTTAAACGTACAGACGATCATGTAGAACGGTAGCTAATGAGAAATGAATAAGACGATATTGTGAGGGTGAAGCTTACTCTCTGCCAAACGGATAATATCCAAAATTGTACATTACCATAAAAATCGTGATAGGCTCAGCATTTTCGTCTTATACTAATTTTTTTTGTAATGTGGCGACTTTGAAAAATCCAACATGGCGGCTTTAATATAACGGGCCAAATTTAGGGATTTCGTAAAATTTTTAAAAATCGATTGTAAATCATTCAATTGTAATTATACATATTTTTTATGCCAGAAATTAATTCACCGTTCACTTTTACATAGGAATACGAGATCTCGTATATTATTGTACTCAAAGTAAAAATATTTTACAATGTCATCTGAAAGTTAAAGCGGAAAACAATGGTTACTTCTCGAATTACTAATTGATCAATATTGATTATAGTGAGGAAATGAAGATACTCATCGGTATTTTGAGTCACTGAATGCAAATTTGATGTCCGTTTAACAAGGTTTCAATTAAGATCATTTGAAGGTTAAATCAAAATACTTTTAATTTTTTGATAAGATTAAGAAATCCACATGTATCGCTAAATCCGAATCCGGGGTCCGTTGGAGTGTCAAACGACGTAGTTATGAAAAAAATTTGTTCCAGACTGTGATTTCTTGATGAACAAAAATGAAAAATTGTTGTTACTATTATAATATAAAATATAAAATTGTCAATAAAAAATGCAATTAATTAAAATGTGCTCTTACAGCTAATATTATTTGACAGTACACTTCAACATGCATTATTAATATTATGTAACGATATCTCATTTATCCGAAAATCAATTTTTTCGTAACTACGTTGTTGGATACTCCAACAGTAGGTGAATTCGAATTCAGCGACACGTAAAACTTGTGGGTGTCCTAATCTTATCAAAAAATAAAAAAGTATTCGTGATTCGACTTTAAAATTACCTTGATCGAAATCTGGTAGAGTTAAAAGATTTGGATTCATTGACCCAAAATACCTATGAGTATCTTTATTCCCTCACTAATCAACATTCACAAATTAGTAATTCCAGAAATAACTATTGTTTTTCGATTTGACCTTCAGATGACATTATAAAATGTTTTTATGTTGAGTACAATACTATATTCCTATGGAGAATGGAATGGTGAATTATTTTCTGGCATAAAAGATATGTAGAATCACAATTGAATAATTTACAATCAATTTTTGAAAATTTTTTTGAAATCTCTAGGATTGTACCAACATATTGGACCCGCTATTTTGGATTTTTCAAAGTCACTATATTACAGAAGAAAATAGAGTAGAAAGTGAAAATGCTGAGCCCATTTTTTTTTGGTGATTTACAGTTTTGGAAAAGGCCATTATCCGTTTGACATATAATGAACCACACATATACACACACACACACATATTTTTGTATACATATATATCATATATATATATTGTTATATACAGGGAGTCCTATCTTAATTGACGGACCTGGATATCTCGAAAAGTTGACGTCGTACGAAAAAATTGTTTAGACGAAAGTTACTCAGGACAATGGAGATCGTCTATGTGTCATGTCCGTGTTAACTTTGAACTTCAATGTGTAGGTCATTTGAAGGTCAAAATGATTTTTGAAATGGTAACACCTATATATAACATCAGATTCGAAAGAGCGGGAAACGTTACGATCGAAACGATATTAAGATCAGATACTAAATCCAAGGCCAATTCCATTCGAAATCCAAAAAAACATTTATCAATGAACTTATGTGATTTCTAGTTATTTAATTTTGAATTCTACATTTGCATTACGTCTAGCTGGTTTAATTTTGCATTTGACATTATTTTTTTCTATTTTATTCGGTATGTGTTGATTTTTTTTTCTTTTTCATCTAAATACATGTTCCTAACTAATTTTTCGCATTTTAACTTTGGTAATTTTACAGTATGATTTGTTATGTAATTCAAAGTCATTTTAAGGTATGTAATCCAATTTGGAATAATCCATATGAGTAACTGCACTTGAAAGGCCGAAATAGAAAATTATCATAGCTCTAGATTATAGGAGAATAGGAGGAAGAAAAGATGGACTCCATGCCACTATTCTTCATCTGTGGATTCCACCTTGAGTAAAATTATTATTTATGTTTTCTTGTGCTTGAAAGAGATGATGCGCAAATATTAGCAGTATTAGGTTACGCAAATATAAATCCGTATGCTAGTTTATGACAAATTGAGAAAGAATATCGTATCTCTAAATCTACTGCTCAAAAAAGATTGTTTCTTCATAACTTTTATCCGTACCAAATCCGTGATCCATTAACGATGGATGATTTCCAATGGAAAATAATAATATGTCGATGAGCACAAGAGATGATATACTGGATTCTGATTTTTTCTGCTGTTTTATTTTGTGATGAAGTAACATTTCATAACATCGAACACCTAATTCGGCATAACTGTCATTACAGGGCTCTTGAAAATCCGTATTGGTTTCAACAAATTGATCGCCAACATCGTTGGAGCTTGAATGTGTGCTGTGGCATTGTTTATGCTATTTTAATTGTACTATACTTTTTTGATGATCATGTAAATGGTACAAACTACTTACAGCTCTTACAAAATGAATTACCTAAACTGTTTGAAAACATTACATTGGTAACTAAAGCACGTATGTTGTTCTAGTAGGATAAAGCACTAGTACACTGGAGTAGGCGAGTATGCGAATATTTTTATATAATATTTCCAAATAGATAGATAGGATGAAGTGATTCTGTTGAATGATACCTTAGATCTCTAGATTTGACAAGTCTAGATTTTTTTCTTTGGGGATACTTAGGAAACGTTGTTAAAACTCAACTATCAACAACGAAAAAAGATATGAAAGAGCGCATAAGGTTGGCTTGAAAATATTCCATGAAAGGTTTTGTTGTTAACTGTAAGAAGTTTACAACGTAGAATCAACTTATGCTTTGAAAATAGTAGACAACACTTCGATTATTTATTGTTTTAAGAATTTTCTCATTTATTAAATTTATCACTATCAGTCAATTTTATTTCTATTAATTAATGAGTTAATATGAGTTACGAGGGTCGTTCAATAAGTCTGTGATTTCTCTAAAGGTGGTGGTATTATCGTAACGTATTTTATAGAGTCCCATGTAGTATAAGTGCGTACACAAAGTTTCAAGTCAGTACATTGGTTTGTAAATTTTTGACAGTCATTAGAATTTAGATTTTCATTATGTAAGCAAAATCATGAAAAAAAATCAGTTTCATTTTTTTATTAAACACTATTTCCTGTAGGGAAAATCAAACAAAGAAACTGAAGAAATGCTCAGAAAATATTATGGAGATTCCACTCCATCTCATGGCATGGTTCAAAAGTGATTTACTGAATTTTGTTGTGGCCGTAAGAGCACAAGCGATGCTGATCATCCTGGCCGTTCAAAAGAGGTAACTCCTTAAGACATGATCGATAAAATTCATGAGATTGTATTCGTCGATCATTGATTGATAATTCGTGAGATTATTGAGTATCTTTACATTTTGGTAAGATGCACATGAAACATTTTATATGAATGTTTGGACATGAGAAAGTTGATAAATAGCAAACTCATGTGGTTGCGTCTGAGCAATGTTTGAGCATGTTTCAACATAATCCAAAGGAGTTTTTGCGATGCTACATTACTAATGATGATAACATAGATTTATTATTACACGCTAAAAGTGAAAAATCAGTCCAAAATGTGGACTCAGCAGGGTGAATCTGCGCCCAAAAAAGTGAAGACAGTACGATCAGCCCAAAAAGTCATGGCTACAGTTTTTTGGTATCAAGTAGTATAATATTAATCGATTACCTATAGAGTGGTAGAATTATTACAGGAAAATAATACACCACATTATTAGACCGATTTGATGCCATATTGAACGAAAAATGATTCCATCTGGTGAAAAAAAAAGTTCTTTTTCACTACAACGATGTACCATCTCACACAAGTTTCATTTTAACGGCCAAATTATTTTATTTACATTACGAAATATATACTCATCTATCTTATTCGCCAGATTTGGCCCCTTTCAATAATTTTTTGTTTCCTGACATAACAATTTGGTTTGCGGATAAAAGATTTTCATTCAACGGTGAAGTAACTGATGCGACAAATCAGGATTTTGAGGAGGTTGATAAAAATTACTTTTCAGATGGTATGAAAAAGCTTGAGCGCCGCTATAATAAATATATCGAATTAAAAAGAAACTATTTTTAAAAATAAATTGAAATTATTTAAATAAATAGTGTTTTTTTTATTTCAAGTCACGTACATATTGAACGACCCTCGTATGTATTCGTACTTCCTAGTACCATTAATTATGTTCATTATTCATTAAGCCTTTTAAGCTAAGGTCGTTAGCCCCAAGTCTTCTCTAACATTTTTCGTACCATAAT